ACTGGTACAGATACGTAGATAATATTTTAGTCTGTTTTACTGATACAGATAGGCAAGTCCATTAATTATGTCAATTCCATCCACCCGTCAATAATAATAATATTAATAATTTTATTCCAGTCAGATCACAATTCAAATGATATTGGAACAGTCAAAAAAAGAGAACACAGCACGTGTATATATGAAATCTTGAATAATAATAAAATTTATGGAGTAATATTCTGAAAATTTTTTGTCAAAAAAATTATCCTATCAAATTTGTCTATTTCTAGTCATGTGTGTCGAAATAACCAATGAAACCATCATTACACTGATAACTACCCATGGATAGTTTTCACGGGTAGTTATCACTTATGTCATGACATTGCTAAGCAACCAACACAATAAAGTTGTTTGACATTTCAGTAATTCAATTTATTTCCCTCGAACATTGATAAATAACTCATAATATTATCACAACTTCCTCAAGCACGTTATTTTAGGTAACATCCCTCCGCCTTCGGCGTCGGGATGTTACCAAATAACGTGCTTTCGAAAACTGTGATAAAATTATTTCGTTAGTTATCAATGTCCTTGGGATATTATAGCTGATAATTATCACCGGTCATATACCTAAGAGTATAAATACATATTTAAAATATGTACTATTGAAATGCATTCAGGCAACATAGTCACTCAATGAAAAATTCATCTACTTTATAGTAACATTTACTGATTAGAAGCTTTCTCAATTTGTTTTTGAATATTCTGTAATTCCTCTCACTTACAATATCCTCAGGCAGCTTATTGTATAGTTGAACCCCTGTAAAGGAAGGGGCATTTTCAAACAGGGATGTTTTATGTTGTGGTATCTGCAAGCGAGTACCCTATCTTGTATTATAGTTGTGATTATCACCACTTGTCGGGATTAGAGAGTTGTAATTCAATCGCCAATAATGATTTCATGATGTATATACATGGCACAGTGAGGATATTGTTTTCAATAAAGTAGGGTTTGCAAGAATCTGTACGTTTATTTCCGAAAATCATGCGTATTATTCTCTTTTGTGATATCAGCAATCTTTGAGATGATACTGCATTACCCCAGAAAACTATCTTATAGGATATATGGGGATATATGAGGGCATAGTAAATATCGATGAGATGAAGCTTATTTACTTTCTAGCTGATATAATCGATACAATTTCTGAAGGACAGAAATTATATCGATCCTAGATTGGAGAGATTGGAGTCTAAGAACGTGCCTGAAAACTTAGTAAATTCTGATGTAATCAATGTCCCGTTACGTATACTTATTTCTGGAACCATACTATTGTTTTTTTACAGAGTATTGCATAAGAATGGTTTTGATGTGGTTAAGTATCAATCGATTAGAGACACATCAGTTACTGAATTTGTTATGAAGTTCGTTAACTTTCTCATCAAATTCATATTCATCTTCACTGTGGAATGCAACAAATACATCATCGACATATAATACTGAGCAATCGGCATTCATATACTCTGGCAGATCATTATGAAGAGAAGGAAAATCAATTGACTCAGTATAGATCCTTGTGGTACTTCTAGATTGATGTTATGCAATTCAGATCGTGCTCCATTGAGTTTCAAAATAATTTTTCTGTGCCTCAAGTATGACATGAACCACTTCAATATATTTCTACAAATTCCTAGTGGGTACAGTTTGGTTTCAGTATGATCTAAGTCTAGGCAATCAAAAGCTTTCGTGAGATTGAATAAAATTCACCACTGAGAGGAAGGTAAATAATTCAATAAATCACCTTAACTTAACCATTAAGAAAAATAACAATGAACATGAATTTACAATTTTCCACAAACCATCGAACTCGGAAATTATCATACATAATTCCTCCACACACCCTTAACAGCATAAAGTTGCTGCATTCAATAGTATGCTTCACAGACTATTGAATATTCCACTGTCTGAGAGTAATTTTCAGAAAGAGCTAAGTTTGATCAAACAAATCGCGGTTAACAACGGTTATAAGGTAGATATTATACACTCCACTCTTTCCAAAAAAATACAAAAGCAAGTCATGGACCTGGTCTACCCAAAGTCAAGATGCGATAACGTCAATTATAGGACATTGTCATATTTGAGTGAACCGATCAAAAATATTTCCCGTTTTTAGAAGAAAGAATGTGTAAACGTAGCTTACAGAACGAATAATTGTCTGAGTAAATTTATTGAAAACAATAAAGACAAAACTTCGGTGTCGTATAGATCAGGAGTATATGAGCTGACTTGTGGCCCTTGCCCAAAACTGTATACTGTCCTAACAGGGAGAAACTTTTTCCCAAAGAATCAAAGAGTTTTGTAAATAGAAAGACCAATTCCACATTTGCAAACCACCTTTTAGCAGAAAAGGACATGAGTTCAATTACGAATACGATCTGTTACATTTAGAAGAGAAGAGTTTGAAACTACTATCGATTTCGGCTGTTTTATATTTCATAACGCCTACTTGGAACTAATAAACTCTTATAAAATTGTCTTCTGTCTTTACAAAACTACTTTTTAACAGTGTTAGACAAATTTTATAGTAACTGCCAAAATGTTTATTAAACTCTGGCATGGGTTTTTTGTACGCTTTCATCAATCCTTCTCTTTATGGTTTTGCCAAAAAAGCTTCAGTTCTGCCTTACTGTTCCAATATTATATAATATTTCAATCTTCATCTAGTGTATATTTTAGTGTTGGACAATTGATGAAATCAATATTTTTCCAGTCTCGATGATAATCCCCTGATATATTAACTAATCAATTCAGTTAATAACATCAATGTGGTTGAACTCGATATGAAACTATCACATTTTCTATAGATGAACCGTATCATATAACGTTATTATACATACTATACAACATATTATTCAGTCATAAACGAGGAAGGCTAATGACCTACGAAAGTATAGAAACATCAATGAGCATCTGCATCAACAATGATAACAGAAACAATGGTAATGTATGACCCAAATTCGTCTTTGTACGTGCATTGGAAAACGAGTCATTATGAAAATATCATAAAATTATAAAATGATTGTGTTACATAATCAAACACGGTAATAAAACGAAAGTGTTTTTTTAGTTTTGAGTATTATATGTTCAAAGACTTTATGAACATAGTCAATTTTAGAAATTATAACTATAGGTATATTATATGCACCAACGAATTCGTTGCCAAAATGCTCTTTTGTCAAAGAAAGAAGTCAGAAAATTCCGATCTGAAAGAGGCTGGTGTCGAAGCATCATGCAATGGATTGAAAAAAATCTCATTAAACAATTTTTTTGGAATAATTCATTTTGGAAGAGTAATCAGAAAGTTAGCAAAGATGGAAAATTCAAATAAGTCTCAATCAAGTTCATCAAATCTAATGCAAGAAGCTTTGATGAAAAAAAAAAACAGAATCAAATCACTTTCATTTACTTTAGGAATTATATTTTTCTAACCATGACTATAAATCTATGTGAAAACGATAGCACAATCACAACGCATAAACACGGCCCCTTAAGGCGGTCTGTTGCAGTCATACTTCAACATCGACCACCGATGAGATACTTCCACTATATTTTACTGCAGATTTCATTTGCAGTGAAATGCAACGAATCTCGTCGGCGGTCGATGTCGAAACTTGTCTTTAGGGAGCCTCGTTTATTTATGACTTTCGAGAATTGAGTTCTCTGATGATCCCATATATACCTACGCCATCTATGGAACTCCGCAAGGAGATATGCTATCGATCTCACTTATGAATATACGCTGTCTGATAAAATGTATTCATAAGTTTCTATTTTGTTTCCTTCAGAGTAGTCTCCCTTGTGCTAGCTTTTTTTTCAATCCTCGAAGCGATTCGATTTTCATTTCCCCAATCGTCGCGAAACGTCATCCTTTCATGGGCCGCATGTGCCAACCGATATGCCGACATCCTCAGCAACTTCTCTTCTAGTGATTCGATGATTCTCCATAACAAGTTCCTTTACTTTCTCAACATTTTGTACCACTTGTAGACATCATATGACAGTTATTGTGACCTTATTGTTATTTATGGAATATATTTCTGTATTTTCCAAAATATTCCACATGACATCCCAGATTTTCAATATTCATATCAACTCATAGCCTGTCCAAACCTCGACGTTGGTGAAAAAAAAATGGAGAGAGTACAAATCTTCCCACTGGATCCTACCGTTTTTTTTAAATAATTCTAAAAACTCAAACAGAGAGTGATTGAACAAAACTCATTTGTGACGATATCCCCTCAGCAGTCCTATCAGTTAGAGAATCATTTTCAAAATTGAAATAAATCAATGTATACTTGCTAACCCAGCTAACTGTCAAAGAACCCATTGAAATCCTTTCTAATCAATAACTGTTTGTTTTTATTGGGTAATTTTTATCAAACCAAGTTTCAATATCTCAACCTACCACTAAACACAAAATATTAAAAAGAAAAACATTTCTTTCCTGATTAGACTGTTGGTCAAATGAGTCAATTTTTGTGAATATGTCAATAACTACACAATATCAACTACAATTTCAACGAAAATATCAAATTTCCAAAACCATGTTCTGTACAGATGTAATGAACTCATTTATACTGCATAATTGTCCGGTTATTGTTGATCAGCATGAAAAAGAGTCATTGAGACCTTGAAAGTGAACAGAAGGGAAATACATTAACTATAAAACTGCTCAATGCAAATCCCATTTTTTATTTTTTATTTCCAAGAACTGTGGTTCGGTCAGTTTGTTTTCTCTGGTGTGTAAATATGAGAATATTTTTAAATTTGTATAATTAGTGTTTTCGTGAACCGTAAAAAGAAGTGAAGTGGGATAAGTCTCAAGTTCAATAATTGAACGACCAGTGGAAAGTCCAACTACGTCATTACGGCAATGAATTTTAAGCATTTATCTTCATGATCAATTTTTTATTGACATGTTCAATTACTGGTTGTTATTGGAAATGAGAAGCCGTTACTGAATGAGAATTTTTTTATGATAATAGGCAGGACGAAGTTAGCTTCATTTTATTTTTCCTTGAACTTTGTGATTATTGTGAGGTATTGAATAAAAGAGAAAAAAGTGTTTTTTGCCTAGTCTAATGATTGTTGTAATAAAAAATAAATTTATGAAAATGATACATTGACACAAAACTAAAAAATTTGCATACATAAGATTCGAACCAAGTGTCATGTACAAATGTTTCAATGAATTGAAATATTTGTAAACCATATTCATACTAGTTTCATTCTCTTCATATTGAAAATGAATGTTGATTCGTTCAAAAATATATGTATATCTTATATTCAGATTGAATTTAGCAACGGTGAGAAAGTGACTTGAACTTCTTTATTTTTTCCACCGCATGAATGCATCGTCAAATAGTAGAAGTTGACACGAGACATAATTTGGACACTAGTCGTGTGTGACTTTCCTTAGTGATTGGACAACAATCGTTGCAGAAGCATCGACATACTCTATTCGTCCTAGCAGTAAACGCATTTACACTGAAGATGTCTTTTGCAGTAGCAGATGAAACGTTTGGTAATACAAGTTCCAATTGACCATGGCCTACCTACCTGAATTTCGTTCCCTCTAATAGCGACTCCGGACACGGGGAAGTTTACATCGAAAATATGCCCTGAATCTCCTATAAAACCTGGACCTGCATTCATGAATTGTCGTTTGAAATATATTATGCATTGTACGATTGGAGACATGTTATCATCAGTTGATTTCAGTTTTGAATGTTCGAAAAATGTACCTTCAAAGTATTTTATACCACGCAATGTATCTTATTCTTCAAATTCATCTTATTATGATTCCATAAGTTTCGTCTAACAAAAATCTCATTATATCAGGCAGCTGGAATATACTCTTAGGATAACGGCTAGTTACCTACCAGTACTAGTTTCAACATTGGTTGGTTCAAAAAATGCTGGACCAGACTAACAGAGCCAGATACTGAGAGATGAAGTCAACATTTTTCATTTATTTTGTCATTTTACATTTTCAATTATGAAGAAATCAACTTCTACTGAGAAGCAGTTGTCTGCGCGTAAATTTCTCATATTTGCAGGACGCGAATGTTGGACAACTTTCAAATTGAAATCATTGAAGGTGAAATACGGCGATACTATATAACTTTGAATATTACTGGAGTTTTATCCCAGCACCAAACCGTTATTTTAACACCTCGCCACGTATTTCGATCACCAAGTGATCATCTTCAAGAGAAACTGAAACAGTTTGATCTTCCTTTCTCTAGTAATATTCATTACTACACCAAAGGTTCCAAACAGTGCATCACAAGCGTCATTTGAATTTTTACTTATTTTTACACTCTCGTAGATGTCTGTTGTTATGAACTTGTCTAACTAATGTTAATGAACTGAAGTCTATGAAATGATTTTGTTGCAAAATATGACGGGCGACTGCTGATTTTTCATGGTTTTCCATATTTTGGGTGTGTTAGGTGTTTCTTATATCTTATTTTAATAGATTTTTTTCGTCTAACCATGATATTTTGCATCGCAGTCCTTATATTTAATTTCGTAATTTCCGAATTCTAGACTTTGTTGTGTGGATTTCTCAAAAAGCTCTGTAGTATATGATCTGTTTCAAATACCACCTTCATAACTAGTTCCTTGAAAATCTTTCGAAAGTTATTCTTGTACTTGTGGTATGGAACTGAGATATATTTATTTCGGTTTTCGTCTTTTATAGAAGTTGAGATTTCGTTCATTCTTAACCTAAACTGTATTGCTTGTTGAAATAATATTTCAATTATCAGATTCACCTGACTAATTCATTAGAATACATTGTAGAATTAGTTTAATACTAGTGAATGTGGTAACATTGTGAAATCAATGTAGGACACTTAAGACGCAGGTACCTAGAATATGTATCTATGTTGTGAATAACGATAACATTATACGTATATTTAGTTCAATTTTCATCTTGAAAATGTTCACTTGGTGTTCGAAACACGTATCGAGGTGTTGAAATAACGGTTTGCTGTCGTGAAAAATCTCCAGTAATATTCATTACTACTACACCAAAGGTTGTGCATCACAAGTACATAACGTTGTCAAACACTCTTGATTTGGATAATACTACAAGAAAATTCAGTTATTTCATTATAACATTATGACTGTGTATTACCTAAAGAGACAACTCTGCTCTTGTCATGATGCCACATTCATTGTGGATCATTTCAAAGTTTTAACTAATCTATTCATCTATGAAAATTTGTTTCAGAACCTTCGAGATGTACACTCTAGGTGTAGCGTTAGCCTTAGCATTATTTGTATCATCGGATGCAGCTCCTGGTGAAGTTGCCGCTGCAGGATCAGCTCAAATAAGTGGCTCAGTAAGTATTGTGTTCTCAAAAGTTTTTCTGAGGATTCAAAGAAAATAGTATTACATGAAAAATGAGAAATGATAATTTATATGTTTTCTCCACTTTTATTTGTAACTGAAGTTACTGCAGTTTCGTCCTATAAAGACGTTTTCAAACTTATACATCAAATGTATAATGTAAAACGAAACTGCAGTAACAAATGAAAATGCTGAAAAATATAGAAATTTTCATTTCTCATTATTCATGATGATCTCTTGCCGAGTAGTAACGGCTACACCCATCAATTTATTACATATTTTTTCACTGGGTGTCGTCTCTGTGTTTTTGTTTGAGGGAGCTTCCATAAGTTGATTGATTATTCAAAGAAAAATTGTATATTGTAGTTATATACATGATTTTGATTACGTCACTTTATACCTACGTCTCAAACTGGAGTTTTTCGATAAGATGATGCCTAAATAGTTTTCTGAATATTCCAAATATTGTTAAAGAATGACAGTTTATGTATTCGATTTAATGTTAACGAAATAATGAACTATCATTCTACCGATAAAATGGTAACTTCATAAACTACACCTTAGGATCTGGGATCGGATCTTCACAAACTTTATTTTCAAAAAATATATCACGACATGTTTCGCTATCACAAAAGCTTTTTCGCAGTGTCGTAGTATTGTCGTTCACTGCAGAAGAATATTCAAATGTTATAAGGGGAGGCACTTTTCTTTCCTAAAGTCAAAGAGAAATTATTTTAACATATTTTCATTTCCAAGCGCAGTGGAATTTCTGAGCAAATACAATCATGCTTTTCAAATATATGTCATTATAGTGTTCTCGGCTCCTGGAAACTTTCCTGGGTTTTTTTCAGGAATAGGATAACAGCTAGTTATTCATCGTGAACAAATCTTCACAATGACAATAATAATCGCGGAATCTAAATTTATCGTAACCATATTGAAAGATCTATGACTGAAATCCACTCGTAATATAACAAGTGATCGTGGGTTGGATGGTAACTAGAGGCTCTACCATAGTGTTATGCCTTTTCAGGGACGGGGTTAGTTCACAATGGTTATTTTGGGTTTGTCTCACGAATATTTCTAATATGAACTATTTTCATTATCCATGATGATAATTGACCAATTTCCACAAATGAAATTTTTATTTTAGACACGTTTCGCTAACATAGTTCTATCGGTAGTTGATACTAATACCTCTACTGATAATACTGGTTTCATGGTATAGCGGAATTTGACTATTTAGATCGACTTCAAGATGTAGAGGGAGGTGTTTCGACGTGATTGTGTTTTCAATGTAGAGCGAGTGGTCAACCACTTTCAATAAGTTCTCGAAACAAAGGATGTAGTCGATAATCAAGGACCTATGGTGGCTCAAGAACATCGGGTCTTGGCAAGGAACTCTGTAGATGTTATGAATTTTACAAGTTCGGACTCCCATTATCTTCCGGTATGATTCTGATATGATTCAAAATCTTTAAAACAACAACAAAATTCATAATGAATAACTAAAAAATGAAAATTGAAAAAAAATCAATGAAGATTTCAAACGAAGTTACTACACTATGTTCCGCTTGCTAGTATCCACAATCGTGTTCAGGTGATTACTATTTATGGATGAGTCCAGCGCTTCCACCTATCCTCCATTCAATCTCCTGGAAAATCAGAGAACAGCTTGACTCGCCGATGAAGAACGAAGAGCTTAGAACGGCCTGCGAAAAGAAAACACCATCATGATTCTACCAGCAGATAAGAGAAACACTACTACTGTTGTGATGAGACTAATTTCTACGAACAAAGATGTTCTTCAGATGGGGCAGTACATGAAGAGTGGACAGGAATCTACAGTATCAATTAAAAGAAAGTTGTACCATCATCAATCTATCAGAAGAGGAATCATCAAGACTCTAGTGGATCGTGCTTTCGGACTCTGTAATACGAAGGAAGGTATTGAGAAGAAACTAGGCATCATAAAAAAACTTCAACGCAATGGTACTCGAAGATGATGATGGAGAAGACTTCGATCAGAAGACACAAGAGCCTGGCAAGGAAGAGAAGCCGTCACAATCAGTGATTGTCTTTCCTTACGTCAGAGGATTGTCAGAAAGGATAAGAAGGATTGGGTCAAGTACTACACCGCATCCCATTAGAACCTGCTTCAGATCCGAAAACACCATTCGTAGCTGCCTCACTAAAACCAGGCCATCTAACGCGCACTGCGAAGCGAGGCAAGACTTTATAGGTATTAATATGTCACAGGAGAGTGCGTTCTTTCGTTGGTTTGAATGGAGTTGTACCTGAAGAAGTTGAAAGGGTTCAAGTAAGCGTGTCAGTAATACCGAAGATGTGGATATTATAAAGTTATTGTTTTGATTTAGTGTGATAACATTCTCGAAATATGCCTTAGGCGTTCACGATGCCAAGGATTGGATGCCCATTCTCCTGAACTACAGGGTTTTTAGCAATTCAGTTCTGACAGTTCTGTGAAAGCAAATGCGATTTTGTTGCCACTAGCTGTAGCTGAAAAGGTGTGGATCTCCGGAATGTGGGCACTTTGTTTTGTGAGTCGGATATGGAGGGAGCAGTATTGATATTCGATTCCCCGCATTCATGAATATAAGTATAATTAGTATAATTTCAGGCTGTTTTACCCAATATGTCCTTAGTTTCTTCCAAAAAATGTAATAAAACAATCATTTTGTGTGTCAATGTTACTTAACGATTTTTTAATTCATTTAAAAAAATCAGATCTAATAAAACAGAAATTATGAAGATATGTCAATGTTCGCCCTTTTTACTTTAATAGCCCGAGGACTACTTTGGTGCTCTTCTATAAATCATTTCTAGTCCAACTAATAACTTGAACAAGTCTAAAAAAGTAGCAGAAGAAGAGTTTTCAATTTTTCGAATCTGGAAGAATGAAATTCGTAGCGAATGAAAAAATATGTGAATTGGCCAATAACTTCACTGTAAACTATCACTACAGAAATTGATCAATAAATTAAAATAATCATGTGAATATGAAAACCGCATTGGAAACGCAACCAATATTGTTTATCATTTTCCACAATTCCCACAGTTTAACAACTACATTCGAAATAATACAACTACAAAAATTCGGTTATCTTTCACTCACTTTTGCTGATCCATCATCGAAAATGATTATTTCTATATACAATTAAAAAAAAGAATTTGAAGATATTGCATTGGAACGCTGCTATTCGTCAGTCGATTTAAAAAAAAGGTTATTCGATATTGTTCGGATTAAAAGTTATTGTGATCGAGCAAAAGTTCATAACTATTTCTGACAATGATGTAGAAACTGATAGAAAATGAACAACTTTGTCGATTCTAAGTCTACTCGACAGGTTTCTGATTCCTTTCAGAACTGAACTATTCCGACTATAAAAAAATCAACGATTTCATCTTGATCAGTGTACTTTTTCCAATTCATTTTTATATTATGAATTTCGAAGCGAATTGAATATGCTTCACTTCACATTTCTATCCTTGAATGCTCACAAAACATATGTTTCCATCATAATTGAACAATTAAGATTCATTACATGTTTACAACTATAAGTATGTACATGGAAGTGTCACCGTTGTGATTTTTATGGCATTTTTCATTCTGGAAGTGTACAATCACATAGTCAAAACAAAATGGTATGCATAATTCGTTTGCTAGTATTCAATAATTTTTAGATGCGTAGTTCATGACTCATATGTAATTATTCAGGAAGTTGAAATTAAATTGAGAACTAATAGCAAATTGTCACTTCCATAACAAGAAAATAGGATGATGTTGAAATACTTCGAAAATACAAGGTGGCCAAACCAAAACGAAACAAGGAACTTAGTCGATTTCAAAAGGACAAAACACGAGCACCACAGGAAAATCCTTAAAGCGCTCAAAGAGAGGTGGCTGTGCGAAAGTTGTGATTCACATTGGATTTGAATCGCTGGAGATTAAATCCATTTGGAAAAAAGTTCCCAGGAAGTTCAATAAACATTAACGCAGTTCTCCAAATGAAAGAGTTCTTAAACAGTGAACTTTGAGGTGTACTGATTTGAACCTCAAAACCCACAGTCTGTCGCGTATTTCTGATATGTACCGCTATTGGTGGAATCAAATGTGCCAAGTCACTTGAACATTCCTCATAAAAGTATTTATAGAATAGAGACATATTTCCAACTTTTCTTCGATGTTCCAGACTGTCAAGTGATGTTTGGTGTTTCAGATATCACGTTTACCCGCGGGTTTCAGTTTCAAGATGAAACAAATTTAAAGTTTATTCAGTTTGAGAACGGTTGGCTTAGTAAACAACTTGTGACGATTCAACATAGCCATGGTTCAAGGTCGTAATTACCAATATAATAGATTTTAATTTGAAACTGGTTAACAATGTTTCATGGTGAATTTTATACGTTGGAATATTTATAACACTGCAAATTCCTCGGTAGTTATTTGTAAACGGGTATCTCTCAAAAAACTTTGACATTAGGAGCTTCTAATGTCAGGGTTGCCCTATGCGGACGATTCACAAAATTTTACAGGTCAATTACTCAAGTGATCTAAGAGACATGAAATCAGTGATTCCAATTTATGTTTGAAATCCAATGAAATAGCATTCCACATCAGTTACGAGATTGCGGAATTTCGAAAGATACATGAAAATGGTGTAAGGAAAAAATAAGTAAGAAATTTACCCAGTTCAATAGCAGTGGTGATCCGAAAGAGATTTTTCAAACAGTATTCAAAAATGAAAATGACCCAAATGTTTGGCAATGGATTTATCGTGGTTTATTGTATAACAACCTGGAGCATCACAAAGATTCAACAGGGTTTGTAAACACACTTACAAGAAGTAGGTTCATGATGAGTATAATTGTTTTGATAGATTTTCAAAAATTAATTTTTTCTTTTAGACACAGTACATTGTTTATACTATGGAGTTATTATATAGATAAATAAAGAGTTAAATGTACTCA